GGTGCATGTGGTGATAAAATTACAAAGCTCTCATTAGTTGAGTCCTGTGCAAAATTGAGGTTTTGATCTAATGAAGTTATTATATAAAGTAATTTATTAAAATAATATGTTTTTTTAAAATTTAACAGAACTAATATAAACATATTTTGTAGTAATATTTTAAGGTATATTTTGTTTTTTAAAAGTTAACAGCGTTAGAGTGATATGCGTTACTCACAGTAACGTTTTACTCCTAAAACGTTATTGTAAATAACGGTTTAAGAGTAAACGTTACTTACACTAACGTATATCAACCTAATGCTGTTAGTTTTTAAAAAATAAAATACATCCTAAAACATTACTGTAAAATACGTTTATACTAATTGTGTAAAATTTTAAAAAAAACATATTATTTTGATGAATTGCTTAATATAATGACTTAGTTTGATCAACTCTAGAGAAGTAAATTCCACGTTTATTTTTTTCCTTTAAAAAGCACAAGTTTGACTATTTGGAGCATTTAATTAGGTAGGTATATAAATATAGTTCATTTATAGATCATTTAGAAGTGGGAAATATAGCTAGATATATACATTAGAAGCACTTTCAACAACTGATGATCAACAAGAATTTGTCGTAATGCAAACACAAGTATGTGCCTTTTCACCTGTAAAAGAATATGGTATAGTAGATAAGACTGCTCCTTCTTTAATAGAGGTTTCGGGATTGAGCCCAATAGATAAAAAATTTTAAAATTTTTGATAAGCATCATTTTTCTCTAATGAAACTCTACATATCATAAATATAAAATAACATGGCGATGCAAATCAAAATTAATTGAAATTTTATATAATATCAACATCAAATTAAAAAGAAAATTATGTGTTTTTAGCTTGTATATGATGTGTGACAGGTTGGCCCATGATGATGAATTTTAGCCTAATTATCTCAACTTTTTGAAACATCTGATTTTATTTATTTTTTTATTTTTACTTTGACATAAAAGTCAGTCACATTTTAATTAGAAAAAATTGGTTTTACTTTTTCAATCTCTGTGATATTATTTTACGTCGATGACTATATGTTAAAAGTTGTATAACATTATTATATGATAAAGAGTCCAAAAAGAGAAGCTAAGGTAAAGAAAAAAATGAAGTTCAATGGATCTTGTGAATCTTCATTCTTTTCTTTTTCATTCTTTTTGTTGACATTTTCTCTTCTTATAATGCCAATAAAAGTCAATAAACCTTTGCTGCTTTATTAATTTCTTTGGAGTAGATTTACAGGTCATTTGCTTTAAAAAAATAAGTTATACAAAAAATAGTTAGTCAAACAAAATAACAAAATAATAATAAGAGAGTTAGCTATATTAATATACCAACTAGTGATACATTAATTATTTCACTATGTAAGTGGTAAAGTCGTATAACGTTATGTGTAAATTATATAGCTATTACATATATCAAAATTGAAACTACAACCAAATATAGCATAAATGTAGTTGTCAAATATTAGAGCCGTCAAAATAAGCTTAGCTTATTGGACTGGCCCAACCCAATCTATTATGGCAATAAGATTGTGATAGAATTTTTTAAGCGCATTTTAAATTAATATTTATAAGTTTGGTCTATATAAGTCATTGGTTTTTGAGGTTTGACAGGGTCGATTCGGGGTCAGCCCGTAGGTCAAAACTTTTAATTTAAGAGTAACTTATAATAATCTCAATGTAATTTAATTTCTTAAATACACGCTATGTTATAATATTATGAATCTTACTAGATTTTGATATGTCCAGATATCTGGACTCAAAATTAAGTTAGTTTGTTCTGGATACACTCTATTCAGATAGATTCACATGTATCTAGAATTCATAGATAAATCTCGCATCCTTGCCTCCCTTTTATCTTGCTTGTCACTCTTTTATCTCGCTCACTATCCGCTATGCGAGATACATGTTAATTACATTAGACTTTTTTGCTAGTGTTATTGAAACAACACCATTGTTTGTCATATTTATTTGAAAATATTCTCATGTTCTTGATGTTATAGAATTATAAGTTTGAAAAGAAAAAAAAAGGTTAGCCCGCCTCAACCCTCGGCCTTTCTAGGATTGAATTGGGTTGAGCATTTTCAAGCCCTTTCAAATGAAAGGCCAGCCTGCCCTAGCCCTTTAAATTCCTTTGCCCGCGAGACTTGGGCGGGTGGGTCTGAGCCGACCTTTTTTGACGACTCTATCAATAAAGCTCACAACAAAAAATAAAGTAATCATTATCTTTTACCTATCAATTTTAGCTTGTAAAATCGATATGTTGATTGCGTACGATCAATGGATACTTATATATTTAAATTAGTATATACTAAGTAATTCGTGTGTAGTATTTATTTTTCACGTAGTATACATTGACGATACTCTAAACAATATTAATTAGTATTTATTTAGTAGATTTTACATAAATCACATAGTTTTAATATAAAATTACAAATTATCCCTCTTTAGTTTATTATTATATTAATCACTTAAAAAGTAACACAAACCGATATACTAATATGTGGCTCGGTTACATTATAACATAAATTGAATACATAATATGTAGCTCGGATATATAATATGTAGTTCGGATATATAATATTTAGCTCGGATACATTAAATACTGACTCATATACATTAATATGTAGCTCAAATAACTTAAAAAAATAAAGAAGTTTTGAAGTTTTTTTTAAATATAAAATGAAGAAGATGCATTAGTCCTTTTTTCTTCTTCGAAATTTTGGTCAGCCCACTTTGTTCCATTTCTTTCTTTCTGATGAAGCTATTAATATCATCAAGATGCACAAGGTAAGAAATTGACATAGAAAGGGGGAAAAAGTCATTGAAGAAAGAAAATTGGAAAATAGAGTTTCCATACTTAAATTTTAATATAAAATGGTGGATTATTTCGAATAAATAATATATCAATGTATTCAAATTATATACAGTATTCTATAACTAAAATCTGAAACTGTATAGAAGAGATTTGAGTTGGTCGAAGTTATTATAACGTATTAAGATTATATAAACATCGTATATAAATATATACACAACAATGATATATAATTATGCATTATATATATATGATTATACATTATTTATACAACAACTATATAAGATATACATATGGCTATTCAATTAAAAAAAAGGTCACCTGTAGAATCATTACTTAAGAATTCATATCCTCCAGTTCAAATAACTCGAACAATAAGAATGATGCTCCAATGACTATTATAGATGCATCAATTTGGTAATGACAGTCAAGAATTTTATAAAAATGTATGCTTTAAAATAAAAGGAAAAAGAAATTTACAAAGCAAAATTCCTAAGTTACAAATTATGTCTCGTAAAATATAAATTCAATTTTAGAACATTATACCTTAATAAATTTATAACTCATAAGATATGCCTACAAAACAAAGGTCGATAGAGACACACAGTTTAATTTTAAAACACATAAACTTATGCGTTTGATAGAGTATATAGAATAATTCTAAATAAAGTGTATTAGTTATGCTTGTATTAACAGTAATGTATTAGTTATGTTTGTATTTATTATACATAAATTATTTTAATATATTATTTGGCTTGATGCATTAAGGCTTAAGTTATCAACAGACACTCGAAGTTATATGCAACATTCACCCAGACACCTAAATTCAATCTTGTACCTGTTAAACACTTCTATCTTTTTGAATTTAAACCATTTGAACATTATTTTGGACCATTGGCTAAAAGTATAAAATGAGTAAAATACGCTTGCGATGACATGGCAAATTGACAAATTAAATAACGTGTTATTTAAATTTTAAAAAAATATTTTTAAATTTATTACAACGTGAATGAAAAAAAATTACTTACTATCAAAATAATATGTAGTTCCAACGGACTGACCCGCCGCCGAAACCCTTTTCCTGCAATTCCATTACCATATCGCTGTCCATTCCAACTCTTTAACATTGTTTAATAACTCCGGCGACCATAAAATCTCCAATAATTTTAAGCATGAGTGCTTCATACTGTACTTCACATATTAACATGAAAAAAGGATATAACTTTCTTATTGTCGTATCCTTTTAGATTATTATTTTGCTGCATTAATTTAAAAAAGTGAGAGTAAATTAGAGAATTTTACTTTGGAAAAAGCGTCAAAGGCAGACGAGAGCTCAGAAGAAGAAGGGTTGGGGTTGAAAAGGGATTTGTGATGATTTATTGGTCGGTTTGATTTTTTGCACACCCCTATACATAATAGAATGTATAATGCAATCATTAGTTATACATAGGTTGAAAAGACATAATACATAAATATGACTTTTAATTTTGCCGCAGTTCATATTTATGCTTTCAAACTTTGGGTGTTTTCAAGAAGATATTTAAATTTGTATAAAATTGAGCAATTAAATACATACGTCCTATTTGATATCCTACGTGTATTATGTAACAGAGGACTCATGTGTCTACTTGTTCAACTTTATACAAATTTAAATATTTGCTTATACACATTCACACAAAGTTGAAGAGCATAAACATGAAATAAGTCAAGTCAAAAAGCATGTTTATGTATTATGTCGACTGAAAAAGAATACCAAATAAAATATTGATAATACACAAGATATTAATATATATTATTTCCTCTGATACACTCGATTAGACGATCCTCAAGAAACATAAGTTATTTTTATAAGTTTTTTGCCGCAAAGTAATAGCGACAGTAATTCGATAATTTTTTATCCTGTGAATCGGATATTACACAGGTAAAAGTTCTCTAAACTTTAACTTTTGTAAAATTAGTTCACAGTTAAGTATTCTATCGTTGACTCATCACTTCCGTGGGCAAAAACTAAAGACCAGCACAACATAAATATAATTCGTGTTGCATTAAAATATTTAAAAAAATTATATATATAAAAAAAAAACATTGTAAGTCATACTTTTTCTGTATTATATATATATTAATTTAATAAAATGAATGTTTTGACAAGTTCTACCCCTATTTTGTGGAAACTTGTCGCTGACTAGCTGTAAAGCTCTATATACTCACTCTTTCAGCCGCCACCAAAATTCACTTTCCTTATTCTTCTTCTTCCAAACAAACAAACGAACAATGGGTCCCATTCATTTCTGATGGACGCTAAGTTCGCCGGAAAGCCCATTCAGGCCCAATTTTATTCCGGTCAAACTAACCTCGAACAGATGCAGGATACTCCAACCCGCGGGGCACGCCACCGCCGTGCACAATCCGAAACCTTTTTCCGTTTTCCCAGTTTTGATGATGATATGCTTTTAGACGATGTCGTTTCTGACTTCAGTCTCGATGTTCAGGCTCCGACCCTCATGCAGCCGGCTAATTCGCCTGATTCTTCGTCTACTGGACCAGCGTTGTCGGCTGGACCTTCCGATTACCCTAAGCCGCTGGCTCACTACCGTAGTCTATCTGTTGATGCTGATTTTTTCGATGGACTGGATTTTGGTGGTGTGCCGACGGAGAAGAAACTGATGGGTTCTGAGCCACGTCATAGGCATAGCAATTCTATGGATGGGTCTTTTGATACGTCGTCGTTTGAGTCTGAATCGATTTCTGTTAAGAAGGCTATGGCTCCTGATAGGCTTGCTGAGCTGTCCTTGATTGATCCCAAAAGAGCTAAAAGGTTATACATAATTTAATCTTTTGTTTGTTTTAACTACTTTTATTACAGTATTTGTTCATTTTTGAGTGCAAGTAAATATACTTTTCAGTTAATAAGAATCATTTCGGGTTAGTGATAGAGGAAAAAGTAAGTATTTTTGAAGTGTTTTTTTATTGGTTTTGGATTAGGTTTGGTGAGAAAATGGGGCAAGGTAGGTGGTAGTTGCAACTTGCAAGTCTTCGTTTTTAAGTCATTTGTTGTTTCTTTGGAATGCTGAAATATCGTAATTTTAGCTGTCAATGGATTTTTTTAGTTTAACTTATTATGATGGATTCCTCAAGAATGGATACAATGTGTAGATATGTTAAAAAAATACCCTCTTGTTCCCAAGAATAATGGTGGAGTTGGGAGTACAAAGGTCAATGAAACTAACTATTTTTTTTTAGAAACAAATTTAATATATTTGGGTGTTAGATTAAGGTACTACAAAACACAAGACGTTGAGGAGGGAGAGTGGGAAAGCATTTTGATAAACATTTGCCACAATTCTTCCATTTTGAATTGCTGAAGTGACATATTTCACATTAACAGCCATGGGGTTTTATCACTAGCAGACAGTGTTTTTCCCAAAGAACTTGTTTCACTTGTCATAGTGTTGTCATGTCTTGTTATATATAATGAGAGGGAAGTTGACTTAAAAAAAAGATTTCTTGAGACCTGTTAACAGAAGTACAGAGTAACACTGGAAACACAAGGAAATGGAGAAGAATGAATCGAAGTTTTGTAAGAAGAACTAACTAGCTTGTTACTTGTGTTAGGTCAACTACTTAACTAATTTTGATTTCTTTCTCATTTGCATATTAGAAGGAAAAATGAAAAAGAAAAAGCTAGCTCCTCAAAGAGAAGTTCACTTATTGTGTTGAGAGAGATGCTATTGCACCTTTTATGGTGATACAAGATACAGATAACAGAGCCAAATAAGAGGTGGTGATATTTTAAGCTGTTGAGTGTTAAGAGAGTGGAGTACATTGGGAATCATTGATGAAGTACCGAGCATCTTTTCAACATTTGGAATTTAAAGTTTTCTAACAAAAGGACATAATTGCATTGTTTTTTTTTTTAAAAATCTCATGGCTTCCCAGCATTTACTTTTTGGTGTTCTCTTTTCTTTAAACAAAATAATATGCCTTTTGTGTCTTATTTGTTGGATAAGAACTCTAGAACCAATCTGCAAGTTTTAGCTTTTAAATGAAGCTGTTTTTTTGGTGCAATTTTGCAGGATCCTAGCAAACAGACAATCTGCTGCACGTTCCAAGGAGCGAAAAACTCGTTACACTAGTGAGCTAGAGAGGAAAGTGCAGACTCTGCAGACTGAAGCCACCACTCTATCCGCTCAGATCACAGTTCTACAGGTATGGAATTCTGCAGATATTAAATATGTGACATTTATTATGTTTGTGACATTATTGTCTAAAGTAACCTTCCATGTTGAATAGCTTCTCGTTTTTAGCAACATATGGTCAAAAAATATAATGTGCTTATGCAATAAAGCCACACCATCACCAAGGCGTCAGCTTTATTTGATGTCTAAACTAAGTAATGATTGGCTTCACTTGATGGCCTTGATCTTTACTTTATATGTTTGTAATTGAATACACTTCCGCTGATACTTTTTCTGCTTTCTCAATTTACTATATTTAAGAAAAAGTCATATTTACGTCAAAATCCTGGCCAAACAATTGGTCAATCAAATTTCTATGCAAACGAACATTTTGAAACACAGACACTCTGGAGTTGAGTCGGTGGAATTTCCAAACCCTTAGCTGGCTTAGACTAGGTTGGCATAGTTTCCTTTCTAATTGATAGGTTCGATCCTCTTCCAATTGAATTCTTGAATGTCGAAAAAAGAGACTTTTCTTGATGGGATTGTTGTACAAAATGGGAACCAAGATTGCTACTTTTTAACCCCACTTATGACAACAACCTTATCGTATTTCTGGAGCTTTTGCATAACATCTTTTCTGTTTGTCAGCTGCTGTATACCACTGTACACAATGAAATTGATATGGTCAACATTTTTAGTTTGCATGTTAACTCTTTAGTTGTACTCTAATTTGTAGTTACTGGTATGACTTAAGAAATTGATGTTGTGGTGTGGTCAATGGTTTGGGTGGAGAACCATGAGGTCTTAGGTCCAAGTGCGAGGGGAGGCAAAAGAACACTAGGTGATTTCTTTCCATTTGCCTAATCCTTAGTGGACAGACTTATCCAATTCCTATGTTGGTAAGAAATAGTTGGTACACAGTGGAATAGTCAAGGTGAGCGCATGCTGGCCCGTACACCACTAGCATTGGTTCTTTTCATGTATTTGAAAATTCCACTGTTCCATTTGGAACTACAAATATACTATTGTCGTCACATTTTATGCTTATATTCACTTTATAAGATATCCAATTAGTTATGGATCAATTGCTCTATTTCACTTGCTCCGCAACTCAAATTCAAATGATATGAAAGAAGCTATAGCAACCTCTGTCTGTCATGAAGTCATGATTTAGCGGATGGTCAAATATTGAGTTCGAAGTCAAAAGAGCGACAAAATTGACCAAAAATTTCAAAAGGGTAAACAAATTACGAAGGTAACCAAAAGGGTAAAGGCGAGAGGGCCCATGCGCCTTACCTTTTATGCCATTAACAGTCAAATAAAGAAAGGTGTCTCACAACTTGCGCCTTACATTGGCCTGACTAAAGAAGAAAGACACATGATATTTTGTGCCTTATATGTTCTGTAGACTTTCTTTCTCCTTTTTCATTCGTTAGTTATTTTAAGATTATCTTTTTCTTATTCATTCTTTAGTTATTTTAACTTCCTTTCGAGTCTATTTTTACATGCGTCTTACCTTTTTTTAAATTTTTATAATTTATAATATATGTTAGGGGCAAGTTGTCAGGCGTCTTTCTTTTTTGTTGGTTAACGACGTAAAGGATAAGGCCCTTTTGGATTTTTTTGTCAATTTTGTTGCCATTTTGGCTCCAGAGTAGTCAGATATACTTTGCTGTTCAAATATCTCCATATGCCTAGTTCACTGCAATTTGAAAGTTTGTAGGTAATCTGAAAAGCTAGTTACTTGCAGTTCTGTCTTGTCACTCTTGGGAAGTCGATAACTTATTTTATGATTATGGAAAAAGGTTTAGCCATTCCTTTTCATATTTTTCCACTAGTCTGTCTTGCAATCTGGTGTTTCTAAGTGGAAGCATGCCTCAGTGAATCTTTCTTCTCTAGGATAGTCATCATAAATTAATTATTCCTCGGTATATTTTTGGACTAGCATTTTTTCGAAATCCTTGTTGCTGCTAATACTAACACTCTAGTGGAACCAATTGCACTTGTTAACATTGACAATGCATCAGTTTGCTATTCTTATTTCCTGTTTTCTTCTCTTGTAATCAAAGGTGAGTATGAGTTTAACTTAACAGCACCATGTGTCTCACTCTAGTTTGTACTAGAAAAGCTTCCATTGACCTATTGACCGTCCGTGATACCTCTGTAGCATTCTACTTCATTTTTGTCTCTTTCTATTGGGGATGACTTAATGGTGCTTATCAACCCTTTTACTTGTATTTTCTTTTCTAGGACTAACATATAATAGGGTACTTTCACATGATGTAGATATTTTCTTTGTGCATAACAGCCTTTTCCATTATATTTGGTTTATCTTCACGTGTATTCGCTTGCACTATAAGTATATTGCTGGGGAAATATTCTCAAGAAGTTAACAATTGTCAAGTGCCAACACATTGTTGGTAAAACCAACAGTGGGTCATTTCCACAAAGTAAAACATGTAGAATTTTGAACTGTCAATCTTTCATACTCATTTTTGCTCAATATTGGATGTTGATGCAGAGAGACACTTCTGGACTAAATGCTGAAAACAAAGAACTGAAATTTCGGTTGCAAGCTTTGGAACAACAAGCACACCTTAGAGATGGTATGTCTTTACTAGATATGAATGTTCACTCTTATAATAGATGGTTATAAAGTATCCTCCAAAAAACAGTGTTTTAAGAATTCATTCTTATTATGTTTTCTTCAATCTAATATGGTTTCATCTACCACCTAATAAGATTGGTAAACCTAATGCTACTTTTAATAGATTTATTTTACTGTCTTTACTCGTAAGCGGTCCTACCTGTATCTTCTCCTTTCTGCTATTTGTCTTTACCTTGTTTTTTTTTTTACCAACTCTGCCTTCATACTTGACGCCCAGAGGATCTTCCTCACTCTTTCACACACGACACAACCATTTATACACATATCAAAGGAGACGTTTTTCAAATAATTTTTAATCTCTATATATGAAGGATCTAGATTTGTCTCTTCCTATATGACTATATCTAACTTTTGTTGGGTCTGAATGTGCGTTTCAATTTTCAGCTCTTTATATTGAGTACAAACCTCTATATTCAAATCATTTGTTCGCTACGAGTAGGTTTCTATTTTCAACTCTTTGTATCAGTCTAGTAGTTTTATCATTTCTTTTTTTGACAACAAGGGAAACCCGCAGCCGCTACTCTTTTGGGTGTGCACAGGATAAAACCCCGCTCCTATGCAATAGCTCGCAAACCACATAGGAGAGGTAACCCGCACCAGGCAAGCCTGGTGCGACGAGCTCGACCCAGAAGGCAAATCCCTTGCTTTCGCTGGCAAGGGGTTTCGAACTTGAGACCTCCTAGAAGTTATCATTATTATTTCCCTAAACAATTCTTCGAAATGAACCAGAATTTGTAATTTGCTCCCCCCCCCCCCCCCTCCCTCTTCTATGATAAAAATCCTCTTGATATTGAAGTATAGAAGTATAGTACTGAAGCATATGCGAATAAATTTCAGCTCTAAATGATACGTTGAGGGAAGAACTGCAGCGGCTTAAGATTGAAGCAGGCCAACTTCCATCTGCAAATGGAAACAGAGGAATGCATTAGTACCGAAAACACCCTTAATCTGGCATGGACATTAGAGATCTCGAGTTTAAATTTCTTTGTATGTGATATCACATTTGTTAACGAGTGTTTTATCTATAATGTAAGATATTCCAGCGTACCTAAATCCTATTTTAATTGAACTAATGTGAAAAGAGTCTTTAAAAAAATGAAATAGAAGTTAACCAACACAGAAAGGATATATATAATAAATATCTTTTTATATTACCATGTTATTAACAAAATATACATAAATAATGATTTATAATATCTATAATAAGTCAAATTATCTACTACAACAAGTCAACAAGAAAGAATTAAGTGACTGATACTTTGATAGTCTATTTGAATTTAGTCTTATTAATGAAGGTTTGGTTCTCATATCATAATTTTTTTCCTAATATTTTATTCTCTGCCCCCGTTTTAGAGGGAAGAAAGAAGAAATAAAAGTTGATTGATGGTACCATTCTTTTAAAATTTTATGTATATAACTCAAAAAAATTTATCTTCAACCCAGATAAATTTGAAGGTAAAGTAAATTTGATTTATCACTATTTTTGTTTTTATTTACTCCTTCAATTCACTTATTAAAAATAAATATTTATTTATATGTTTCTTACCTCAACACTATTTATTTATTTTTTAAATAAATTCCCATCAGCTAAGAGTATACATGACTTAACATTGATATATGATAAAAGTAATATTAACATATCTATATTATAGTGAAAGTCTATTAACATATTCATTATTATTATTATTATTAACATATATGTGTTATAGTGAAAGTCTATTACATAAAATATCTAGTATATAGATTCATTTGCAAAAAAATAGGAATCCTGCTCAGTAACAAATTACTTTTGTATTATAATCAAAAGGAAATATAAATAAAATATTTATTTTTTAAAATTTAGCTTGGTGCGTTTTAAGGATTGTTGAAAAGCAGTTATCAATTGAGCGTGTGTATGAAAATGCTTAGAAGACGTGCTTATCCATTTTCCATCTTCTTCTCATCCTTGCTCAAAAAGTAACCCTAAAACTCTTTTAAAATGAAATAAATAACTAAAACTGAACTGCTCCCCCTAATTAACCCTATACACATGAAGTAAATCAAGTATTAACCGCTTCTCTCTCACAAAAAAAAAAAAAACTGTCTCTACATATAGCAAATCAAACCCTTTTTTTCAACTTTTTTCTTCCTCCAAATTTAGTCATGGAAAATCATCCTTTCACTAGTAATTCCCATTGTTATCATCCTTTTTCTAACAATTTCCACGAAGAAACACCTATATTACCTGTTCATCAATCCGTCGATAATTTTCACAGTAATCCAAAAAGGAAAAGAAGTAAATTTGTTAAAATCGGTGGTGATGCTGCTGCTGCAACTTCTGGTATAAGTAAGCCTAAAATTACCAAAAAGCCACCAGACCCAACTGCGCCCAAAATTACTCGGCCTTGTACGGAATGCGGGAAAAAGTTTTGGTCATGGAAGGCGCTTTTTGGTCATATGCGTTGTCATCCTGAACGACAATGGCGTGGTATTAACCCCCCTCCTAATATTAGGCCGCGGCACGATGTTAAATCTCGTGAGACTAGTCCTAGAAAAAACCCCAAATCGGTTTTTGATGCGATTGTGACGGAGGAGGATCAGGAGATCGCCTCGTGCCTGTTGCAATTGGCTGGTGGGTCATCAGAATTACCTGATAATGAAAATGAAAATGAAAATTTTGGTGTTGTTACATCAGAAGATCAACATTGTTCTTCTTCTTCCGGCGGAGGAGGAGGAGGGAAGGATTTTCGATTCGAGTGTTCGGGTTGCAAGAAGGTTTTTGGATCACATCAGGCATTAGGTGGACACAGAGCGAGTCATAAAAACGTGAAGGGTTGTTTTGCTTCAGGATTAACACAAGCTGTTAATAATAATTTGGATCTAAATTTTCCTCCTTCAGTTACATGTCATCATGAAGATCACCATGATTCTTATTCCTCAGGTTCACCCTTGGATTTGAGGTTGAAGCTATAACTATATATACATATATAATTAATTAATTAGTTACTGGGATATTGCTATATTCTAGAAGCTATTAGCAAATTATACATCTGTGGTTGCTACTGTTAAATAATATTACTATTTACTCTTAAACTAGCAACAACTTCGTAGTTATGTTACTCTTCTAGCTACTTGTTGGTCTTGTTGCATGTGTTTTACATGAAATATAATCACTCTAGTGTTCCTAAGCATTTTGTACAAAATAAAAAATTATTTTAAAAGATTCTAGACATGGTTAAACAGGTTCTAAATTAGGTCACTAGTAAATTTCATGTTATACTTGGACTTTATCTCTCGCTTGCATCCTACACTCTATTGACTTGTGTTTTCGATGTTTGTAAATTAGGTCAAAGATATAATATTATTACATATATGTTATGTACATTTACTTGGAATGGTATTAATGCATAGATTTACGTTTATATTCTACTATAATTTTAGACCATATACAGAGAGATCTTTCGTAAATATTCTTCAACTTGGAGGATGATCTTATGTTAATCAGCTCATTAACTTATTAATTTTATCATTTCGCAAATCTTAGTCTATAACTACACAAATACACCTATATAGAAAAACCTTAAGCATTGTAAACTAATATTTACAATTAAATGCTACAATCTACGGTGGTGGATTAATCCGCTTTCAAAAGCTTGGGATTAAAAATATATAGAGTCCGCATGTAGAATTATTATCATTTCAAAAAAGTATAAGAAGGCGCAAATGGTCAAATGTTATTGAATTTTAAATCAATTGTACACTTCCGTTGTCCACTACTAATTGCCATATTGCAAGTTAAATTAGATAACATTCATTCGATATGATAAGTATAAATTTAGATAATCTATACGAAAAGTATTAGAAATTGCAATTTTTTTTTCAAATCAATATGATAAAAAATACATCATAAAATGTAGTTAAAATTCTTACTCCCTCTGTCCAAATTTATTTGTCATGTCGCGCTTTCCAATAGTCAATTCCACTAATTTTCAAAATTAAATTAGATTACATCAATTTTGATATTTTAAGTAAAAACTTTAGATTTTCAAAAACTATATGAAAAGTACTATAATTGCAATTTTTTATATATTGATATGATAAAAATACATGTTAAAATATTAATTAAAATTCTTATAATTTAACTCTAAAAAAGAATCATGATAATTAAAATTGAACGAAAATAATCTTATTTAATTTTATAAAAGAAAATCATAACGATTAAAAATGTAATAAGAAAAGTATTATAATATAAACAGTTTATAAGTTGCTGGTACTTGATTTTCAAGTTTCTATTTAGAGTAGTCGTAGCTCCCACATGTCCTCATTAATGACCATCTCTTATTTGTTACCCAAATAAACAACATTAACTATCAACTGAAAATGATAGCTTTAAGTACATTTCAATTGTTTTGTTTATTTAAGTGTTTTTTTCTTGTCATTAATTAATTAATTCCAATTGCTAGGTCAATATGTTAGTCAAACAAGTCTACTTTCGTAATTTTCTCCATGTTCCAACTTTCATATCAATTAAATAAATCAGAAATGCATCTATTAAACTAATTTTTCCTTCGGATTTACAAAATTTGTGACGCTGGATTGGAATTTGATGAACCAATTAATCACTCCTTTAGTTGTAGTATTGAACCCTTTTTACTTTGCCTAGGTTTACACCTTTGGAATATTCACTAGGCAGGCATACAAATTTGATATTTTCATAGTATACATTCTTCATACACTTTTACTTGTGTATTATACTTAACATAAAATTAAAAGCTAAATGATAAATTATTTTTTAATTTTTTAAATAAATATGTATTAATTTACTCCAAAGGTTGGATTTATTATTAATAAGATCTAAAATTTATATTATACTTAACATAAATTAAAAGCTAAATGATAAATTATCTTTTAATTTTTTAAATAAATATGTATTAGTTTACTCCAAAGGTTGGATTTATTATTAATAAAATCTAAAATTTAGCAAATACGCTACAATAAAAATAACTTTTAGCGACATTAAATATTGACACTAATAAAGAGTGTTAAAGTCTTTACCGGTATTAGTTAAGTGTCATTAGAACCAATGTTGCCAAAGACTTTTGGGATATATACAAAGAGTGACAATTGTCGCTAAAAATACATATTTAGCGGCAATTAAGAATTAAATGCCGCTAATAATCATTTTTGTTATAGTGATAAAAAATACAACACTCTTATACGTCTAACTAATAGTTATCAAAATCTTTAATTCTTAACATTGACCTATAGTCTATTTAGATACTCTATTTAGATCGATTTATTTCAAATATTTTTAAATAATTCTTTTAAAGCATTTTGCTTCAACAAATTGTAAACTCATCCAAACGGACTTGTATTTTACTTAAACAATAGTTAAAAAATGAAAAATTGATTAAAGTATTATTTTGTTTTAATTATCATGTTACATTTTTCGAGACTCAATTTGACTAATTTGTAAAGCTCAATAAGATTATATTTATTCGATATTTTAAAATAAATCTTTGATATTTAAAAGTTATACCTATAGTACTATAAATTACATTTTTTATATTAATATAATGAAAAAGTATTAAATTTTAAAATATTAATCAAAATTAATATAGTTTAATTCTCAATAATAACTAAAAAAGAACGAAAGGAGTATATAATAGTTGGTCTAATTCTATTTGAGGCATGTTTGCATTTATTTTGTTAATTAGGCTATAAATTGAGCTACAAAGTCCACATTGAAATTTTCAACATAAATTTCGTAAGCAAGCAAGACATTATACTATGTGTGGTATGTACAATGTACCAACCATCTTGAAAATTTTGGTCTTCCAAAAAACAAATTTCAATCTTTTATTGAACGGCCTTTGACATCTATTTTTTATTGAATGACTTTTGACATAACTATTTCAAAAGAGGCAAAATGTGATATTTAATACTAGGAACATACAATTCATTTTCTTTTTTAAGAGCAAGATAAATAGCCTACAGCGTCGAAAAATGTACTACTTGAACAGCTACTCGTACAACTAAATTTAACATGATGTAACTTGAAATAATGCCAAACATTTTACCTAAATTTGTCCTTCCAAACTGCCACTTACGTATAGTAGTAATTTTGTATAACTGAAAAAACATTTCAAATCTCATGATCTTCCCTTTTGAGACTAATTCTACTTTCTTATAGAAGTGTGACATATGATGATTTAATTTTTAAGTATAGAGTGGTTTTCAACTTAAATATTTTTTATTTCCGGAGTTTTGTCAAGTAGATATTGACTCGTAGAATTAATTAAGCATTTTAAAATCATAATTTTTCTCAAATTATGGAGACTGGTATGGAGCTAGGTAAGATTGACAAACGAGGTTTCATCTAAACGCGAAAAAATTACATTATTTATATATAGTTTAATTTTTTTTAATGTATATATAATAAATGTTAAACTTTCTGGTTACGCTACCACTGTTACGTTGTTTATTTTTCTTATTTTAATTTTTTTCTGATTACGCGCCATTATTGTGGTATTATTTTATTTTTGGAAACCCTCGACACACAGACAAATCCCCCTGGCCCAAACCAAACACATTTTATGACTTGTTCTTCTGTTTTGTTAAAGAAGAAGTCAAATAGTAGTTGGGTTTTCTTCCACTTCTTAAAAGTTTGTTAGAGACCTTGATTCTATGTTACTACTAAATTTTCATGTCCACAGTTGAAATAATTAAAGAAATTGAGGAGGAAAATAATCATATATAAGCGAGAGATTATAAAATAAAATTAAAAAGAATCATGCATGAGAGAACAAAGAACAATTATGTTGTATCACGATAGAACGCAGACCTAGCTAGAAATAGGTTTAGTAGAATTCAGTAATTTTAGCCCAAATATTCCATTTGTGTTAATTAAGAAATTTCACTTAATATATACAAATAATTTGTTCAAAATACAACTATAAAATAAGGTAAATTCTAGTTTTATTGATAATCATTTCATAGTCATACAAAATAGGTCATGAATTGATCTAGAACTTAACACACACAAAAAAAAACCAAGATATAAAGAACCACAACTTAAAAAAATATCAATGGGTTATAAATAGCTTCTCTTTACAAAACTTAAGAGAAGTAATCAATAATTCCACAAAAATAATATAAGATCATATAATATATGAAAATGTATACTCACTAGTGAACCATGTACAGTTGGAGGCACCTTCAAAATAATCCTCACAACATATATTAAAAGGAAATGTTCAATAATTTTCCCTTCAATAATTTCTTCATGGTCTTCATATATTGATTTGATTGTGCCTTTTGGAAGGAGCAGAAGGTGGAATAGGGACTCCTTTTGGCAAAGATTGAGAAAAAGATGATTTAGAATTGTTATTACTAGGTAATAAGGGCTTAACATTAACAACTTGTGAGTTTTTTACTGCATTAACATGGTGATCATGATGATCAACCACCAAAATCACAAGAAGTAAATAAATTAATAGTGTTGTGTTGTGATTTTTTTTCAACATCTCTTGTAGTTTGAGAAAGTTATAGAAAAGGGGTGGAGAGGGAGACTATTATTAAGTGTTGAAACAGAAAAAGAGAGGGGTGATGTTTGCTGTGGAAATTTTTCTTATAGTAGTAGTATTAGTTGGTGGAGAAATGACTTATTAATATCGTTGTGAGTTTAGGTTATATACATCAATTTAGTTAGCTAGAAAAACAAGTCACGCCATCAAGTCTCTTTCACTTTCTACATTTGAGGTACAGATAAAGTCTACATATACTCTATTCTTAACAAACACTATTTTATGGAAATGCATTGTATGTTTTCATGGGCAAAGCCAGGTAGGATCACTACAACAAAAGTGACTTTAACGGCAATTAATAGACACATTAATATAGTGTGCTAAAGTTTTTATTGATATTAATTAAGTGTCATCAGATCAAATGTCGCTAAAATCTTTAGGGACATATATATACAAAGAGTGTTAATTGCAACTAAAAATATATATTTAGCGACAATTGCTAATTAATTGCCGCTAAAACTCATTTTTTATGTAAGAGTTAGACGATGTGTGAACCTGATTAGTGAAAATTCTGACTCCAACGTGTTAGTTGTTATTGATTTTACAATATAAAAACTAAAGTTACTATAACTTGTGTATTTTTGTGTGGGGTCGGGTGGGGATGACTTGTGTCTGAAGTTTACTTATGAAGATAACGGATTTGGCTGTTTCTCTTTGG